TAAGAATGGCTCTTTATAGAATAGAAGTGTTTGCGCATTTCTCAAAACCATAAATAGGAACTTTCAATGTAAAAGTTGCCTACGGATATCGCTCTCAAAATCTAATTTGGCGAGATTATTTGCTCGAATTGCAAACTTAGAAGCATTGACGTGCTATTGTTTGCGCTCAGCAATATTCACATAGCTAAATAGTCTTTGGCTCAACAGTAGCACATCGGAAGAGGAATGAATCAAGTATCCATGGATTTCGACTTTTAACAAAAAAAATTGCTGAGTGAAGGGGAGTAGGAGATATTTTGATAATTGTGTTTCTTGAGAAAACTCCTGCAAATTGTTTCTCTTCGTTAGCAAAATTGCTTGGAGAGCTAAGAAAACTAAGGATTTGAAGTCATTCCAGGATGATTTCGTTGCTCGCTGGTATCCTTCTTCTAGGCGTACACGCGCAGGAGGAGTTTACATGGAATCGATGGGGTGAGTCAAATGCACAACATTCAACAGATTCACGAAAAAGCTCAAAATATTAAGCTACGATTTTCTAATTTTCTCCAAATCCTATTAATTAACATCATCGAATTCTTTCTAACTACAATCTTTTGAAATTTCCAGAGCAGCGAACAGTGGATTGCATTTCGAGTGGGGCAAAGGACGAGTGCATACTGCAAGCCCCTAGGGCTACTTTACCAAAGGACCCTAAGGAATACAAGTAAGTTGTCTATTTGCTTGTAGAAGATAGAATCATGACTGACTAAACTATTCTTTGCCTTTTCAGATGTCGCCGCGAGCCAATGCCTCAGCACGCGTGGAATCAACTTGCGCGAAACTCAACTACACGACTGGCCTGTCCTATCGGATGCGAGCCAGATTTCGATCTTTCCGTCAGTAGAAAAGTAATTTCACGTCACCAATCGTGGCACATACTTCAATTTAGGTCATAACAAAAGTCCCCTTCGATAACGACAAATGCCAAAAGTACTACACATATGGAAAATATCGTGATCAAAAGGAGAATGAATGGTAAGTACGCTTTGCCACTGTGATATCACGTCAAAAAGAATTTTGAATATCTTTTATGGTAACGTTTTATGTACCTTTGGATGACCGAGCCATGTGTGGCGGCTTTGACCACCCACTGCAGATTCAAGGACGTCCCCCTGAACGCTAAAAGTGATTCAAGAAGACTGCGACAGAAAGCATTGCTCACTCGAGTTTAAAATCTTTCATATAATCAGTTCTATTTATTTTATGAGTTTTGATAAATACTATTTCTTCTCTTAAACCCAAATTTCTCTTGAATTTACACATAGGTGTAAAGTTCGCTTAGTGAAATTATACGATGCTACTTGTAATCAGTAGAACTACTCAATGAGTGCTTATAAATGTCTTATTTCGAACAAGATGCATAAACTCATTTTTAAAATGATTTGCATTGTGTTAATGTAAAGGCAAAATAATGCAGTAAAATGGTGTAAATATTCACTCCAGCAGTTTGAGGGTTACGGTCACACACATGCGTAAAACTAATACACAACATGATTCAAAATTCATTCGATTAGGCTAAACAGATACGTATTACAAAAAAATGTCAAAGGCATTGAGTAGAATACATGCAAGAGAGATGTCTAGCTGACAAAATAGTAAATTGTGGTATAACATATCTTAGAGACTTAATGCTCAAAGTGAAACACCACAGTATTAACAAGACTGATAACCCATAAAATTTGAATTCTAAAAAAATGTTTCTGGAGCGAAAATTTGAAAATCAATGTTATGAATTGATTTATCATCTATGTGGGTTAATTAGTATACAATGTCATGACACTAATGTAATTAAGATTCTCCCTACTCCACAGTGACACTTTTATACTTTGAAACCAACTATGTGTTAACAATTTCATCCACCTCAGCCAACTGTTGGATAAACTGACTGTGACTGGTAAGACACAACACCTTGCCCAACCACAACGGGTTGCACAGGTTGAGCTTGAACTCCATGCCCAATCACCACAGGTTGAGCAATGTAGTGGGATTGGGGCTGAACTACAAAAACTTCGTCATGATGATGATGATGA